TTTCAAGTGTTTATATACATGATAGCTCTCCGAAGTTACAATCAAGAATAGAACTTGGACTTCTAGCTTGCATGTGGCCAAAATTAAGTTAGGACAAAAGGTTTGGCCGAGACTATGCTATGGGACAAGATGTAACTCTTTTTTTGGTTCAACCTAAGCTCTCCCTTGTGCTTTTCTTTCTTGTACCATTCGTTCAAGGTCCCATATCAAAATGGGGAAGAACCCAGGTAAGTTTTGAGCATTATTCCTTCTTGTGTGTGCCACTCATGACATGAGAACCTTCTAAAACTTAATTGATTTCTTTGTGATACCAGACGAGCTTATACAATAGTAGAAATTATTCAAGCCTTCTTTTTCTTAGCCAAATTACCTCAATTATCCTTTGAACCCACCTTTGAGCCTTAGCCTTTTCTTGGATTTGAACTTGAGAATTAAATTTTTTTTCAACCAAAAACTACCCATACTCAGGTTTAAAGGGAAGTAAGGAGCGTAGAATAATCACCAAAATTAAATTCTACTCACCGCCAACAATTCAAAAAAAAAAAAGAGAAGTGTCAAAGTATAAAGAAGAAAAAAAAAAGAAAAAAAAAAGAAAAGAACAAAAATCATTTTGTTTGTATGTGTCCAAGCAGTAAAAGAGTTTGAAAGACATTCTAACATAAAGATGTCAAAATAGAAAAATGCAACTGGAAGAAAGATTCAAGGTACATTGATTCATGTTCTTTATTTTCTAAAGTCTTAACCCACTTTCCTAAAATAATCTACCCTGAACCCTAGTCCCATTACAAGCCAAGTAAAAGTCCTATTGATCTGCTAAGGTATATGTTCTAATGGTGGGAATTTAGAGATCTTTCAAGACTATGGTAAAGGATAATGTCATGATGTGATGATGAGTGAAATTTTCAACATAAACACTTGATATATTAGAGTAAAAACTTTACCACAAGAGGATGTTCCCTTGAAATGAGTCATGGAACCTTTAAGGAGTACTTGGGCATGATAATATTTTGTGAGTTATGATCTTGATCTTTTTAATTCTCTCACTTTTGGTTGATGAAGTTTTTCTTGATCATTGTAGTTTTCATTATGCCACTAACATTTGCAATAGTACCAATATTTGCATAGCATGCATTCTTTTCTTTTCTTTTTTTTCTTTTATCTTTGGCTTGAAAGTGCAAAAGAGCGAAAGTGGGGAAGTATTTGATATATGTCATTTTAATTTTAATTTCTTGATATAAGAGTATTTTTTAAGTTAATTATTTTCTTCATAAATCATGCATTTAACATGTTTTCATTAAAAACATATCATAATTCAATTTTTCTCAATTTATTGCATTTTGCATAGTTTTAACATAAAAAAATAATTTTAGATCAAAAATATTTATTTTCTTCTTTAATAAGATAAACATAATTTGAGATGAGTCAAATTGATGGAAATAAATGTCCAAATTGATGCAACCGAACTTCACTCTTCTTGGAAACATAAGTTTGTTTGTCACTACAAGAAAAACACTAAATAGTGACCGAAAATTCGATCACTAAATGACTAAAATCGGTCACTAACTAAAATAGTGACCGAAATAGTGATCAACTACAATCAGTCACTATTTCCTTAGTAACTATTTTAATGACCAATTCAGTTACCAAATCAATGACCGAATCAGTGACCGATTCAATGACCTAATCTATGACTGAATCAATGACCGAATCAGTAATCGATTTTGTGAATGACCGAATCAGTCACTATATTGATCACTAATTTTATTTTATTTTTTTTAATTTTTAAAATAACAATAAACCCGATTAAGAAATATAAAATACATTATATGTTGTATTAAATATATCAAAATTACAACACCTGAGATAACCATCAAAATAATAACACAAATTTTGTTCTAAATAAATTCATCATTGATAGATTAAATATTTTCTTACATATTGAAAATTCAATCTAAAAATAAATAGAATAAACTAAAGTAAGAGTTAATTCCGAAGATGTCAAAAACTAACAAAATAAATACAATATATAAAATAGAAGTATCAGTTCACAATTCAAAAAGTTAAACATTCATTTTCTCCATCAAGAAGAGGAACAACATTATATAATTTTTCTGAATGTCTCTCATTAGTTAACATTTTTTCACGAAAATCATCTCTTTCAATCTCAACTTCCTGTAACTTGTGTTTTAATTGTTACCCAACAAAATCTGGTTTCACGATTTATTCCCTGCATAAAAAGAGCATGTCAAATGCAATCACACAAAGACCCTTTAAATATGATAAATCCAAACTTTACTGCAAAAGACAATTTTAGCACTTTAAGTTCAATACCAAATTTTCTAATAATTAGAATATACCAAATTTATCACAAGCCATTAATTAATCACATCCTATGCTAGAAACAATTTCATCTGTGCACATATATCTATGCGTTTTTTCTATTTTTGTTGTTCAAATTTAGGACTTGTTTTAGCTTTTTTGCTTACCATTTTGCCTTTTTAGTCAATATTTACCGTTGAACTTTAAATGAATTTTGAATTTCACCTATGTTATTTTGTTTTAATGCATTGACAAGTTGAGATGTTTTTAGTGTATCATATTGCCCTGTAGTTTGGTCTTGGTCTCGATGTTAAAAGGCATTTATATATGACAAATTGGAGTATTGTGAGGTCATGCCCTTATTTTTCAAATGTTTGTAATCTAATAATTCTCTAGTAACCACTATATATTGGTCTTTGCTAAAGTGGAGAAGATTTTTTTTAATTGCCTCTTATTATGGACCGTGCAAAGACTTTTTTAATAGTTTGGTCAATCAAAATATACATTAACCCATCTATAGGTATTTGAATTCTATATTAATTTATTCCCGAGCAGCCATAGGTAATACTGACATACAAGGCTTTTCACAAAGAAAAACAAAGATGAGTGGTTTAAATAAGTCAAATTTAGCAATTCTGAAATGGGGCTTTTATATCTTCCAAAAGTTTTCTGTGTAAGTTATCCCACACCAACCAAACACTGTATTTTCTCAATCATGAAATTTGCATATTGAATGACTTCCAAATCATAGAGGAAATGTTTTAATCTCTGGCTTCCATAGCCATCTTGTTTTATGAGAAAAAAGAAAAAAATAGTTTGATATTCTAAAATAACTTTTTAGATTGGAAAATGCATACCTTTACATGTTGTTTAACCATCACCCTTGTACTGAACACCATTCACAACAGGGCACTCACAAACTCTTCCCTTGAATGTATCCTGTACAGTGGCCTTTGAAGCCGAACCCTGAAGTGTTGTTGTCTTAATTGACTGGGTCTACTACGGTTTCTAATACTGAGTGCAGTTTTCATGTAACTTCAAGTATACTAGCAGCAGGTTTAGCCACAAGTCCTGTAATCCCTAATGCAACTCCTTCAATAAAGAAAGAGGTAAAAGGAAAGCATGGTCAGTAGCCAAGCAAAGAGAATATCTCATCTCAAACAACAATTGCGATTGGCAATTCTTAATGTTGCCTGCAATATTTAAGAAACTTGTAAACAACTAGTATTATTATTATGCTTAACTCTTAACTGTTGAAGTGTTCTTTGTATTTTAGGATCAAATTCATACAAAATACCAGGATTGCTCATAGTCATATAACAAGATCACTCAAAGGTTAAGAAAAGGTAAAAATTCAAAAGTCAACCAAAAGTCAATAGAAAGCCTAAAAAAAATCAAAACAGTAATATAAAACTCAATTGACAAAATCTCTGGACCAAAACACTCCTAAAATCATGAAAAACAACCAGAAAAATTGGCAAGGTAAAATTCAAAGTGCAACTATATGAACCACTCAAGAAAAGATTGAAAAGAATTTATATACAATAGCAGAAAATAGAAACTGCAAGCAGAAAATAAAATAGAAAAATAGTAAACAGAAACAAAATTTGACTGTCTAAGATATGTTTATGCAGCAAAACAATGTGATGATAACAAAATTCTGTTTTACAGCAACAATTGAATTCTTGTTCCATTGTTTTTTTTCCTGCTACTAGAATTTCCAATTCTCCTCTGGTTGGTCTTGTTGCATCTGCAGAAAGGAACAACACACACAAAGATAGCAAAATACAAGGACTTAATTTCACTCAACACAATAGAATGCAAGTGGTGAAAATCAATGTTCCTTGTAGCAGCAAAACTGAAACAGACCCACTAAAATAGAACACAGAACATTGAAACAAATTTAAAATTCTCTCTGCTCAAATTGATGGACCTGCAACTATGAACAAGCAACAAAACACAGCAAAATATATGTATCCACAGAGAACTAAATAACAGAATGACCAATACTAATACTTCAACCACAAACTAATTTCAACAATAAACTGAAACAAAGAAAAGAATATCTGAACCAATGTAATGTTTTTTCTATATGTAAATGGCTCAATGAGCCTAATTCTGACTAAACATGGTCTGGCCCAAAAGCTTAAGTGGCTAATACACTAATTACAATTCATTAAGTCCTAATCTAAAAATCTGCCTAGGGCTTCAATTTTGTAAGCAAAATTCTACATCCTTAAAGTTTGAACTGGGTCTTTCGTCCAACACAGAAGTTTCAGATCTTTTTGTTATCTTTCCAACGACACCAAGAACGTCCAAATCCAAGGTCTGTAGCTCCAGATATGGCCTGCACAATAAAACTGTAAAAAACTGGAAAAATACGAAAATTAACTAAAAATAAGAACTAATGTCTAAATTGACTTATTAAATCAAAACAAATCTAAAAATAACAAAATAGCATCAACACCAGCCTAAAATACTATAAACCAAACATAACAGAATGAGTAAAAATATATCTATCAAGGGATTAGGAAGGAGGTCGTCAAGGTAGTGCAGTGGCTCAAGATGGAGGGGACCGCGGGTGAGGCGAGCGGGGCGCGGTGAAGGTGGAGGCACGACACAGTGGCCCAAATGGAGGGCTCGACATTGGCAGTTCACGGGGCGATGGTGGTCGTGGGTACTCACGGAAGCTGCTTGGCCAAATGTGAAGTTAAGGGATGCTGGATGTAGCTACTTGAATCAGGGAGAGGGGTTTGGCTCAAGATGGAGAAGAAATGGGTGAGGGCATGGAGGACGGTGGTGGGGTGCGCAGGTTGAGCTTGGAAGTGAGGTGAGGCAAAATGCAGGGAAAAAGAGAGGGTTATTCTCGTAGGTGAGTGGCTGGGAATGAGAAATGGAGGTGAGGAGTAGGGTTGAAGGAGATGGTGAGAGCTGAGGATGGAGGCTGCGGTGGAGAAAAAAACGAGGGTTAGGGCTGCGAGGCTGAATGGGAGTGTGCCTGTGCGTGGGACTCCAAATCTGAATTCTATAATTTTATATAACTATTATTATAAATTTAATTCTTTAATAACTAAAATTTTATTTGAATTTTTTTTTATCTTTTTAACCTTTTTTTTCTTTCATATTTTAAGAATAAATATTATTATTTATTATCATTATTTTATTTTTATCTATTAAGATGAAATTGAGTGTTGACAATGATGAGAATGAGTTAATTGGAAATCGGGTGGGTGTTAGCTGTTTAGGGTGCAAAAGAGCAAGGATAGGAAAAGGATGAATGGTGGATGATGAGGTGGTGACGATGAACTAGGGTGAGATGGATGGCTGCGAGTATAATAAGGTGGTGCGATAGGTGTAGTTGGATGGTTGGTTGTTGAGAGTGGCTAAGCAATGAGGAATGGAGGTGCAGTGGTTCAATCGTGTGATTATTTGAGAAAATTTGATTTGTGGTGAGATGGAAGATGGGATTTTTAGGTTAAATTAAAATTAGGACAACTAAATTATTATTATGGGCTAAAGCCCAAAAAATAAAAAAATAAAAAAGTATAATCAAATAAAAAAATATATATATATTTTAGCGTTTTTATTTTTAAATATTAGTTTTTTCATGAAATTAATTTTAATTAAAATAATTAAAGTGATATATTTAAATTTATTTATTTTTTATTTTAAATTTATTAATATTATCAAATTTTAGTTTCATAATTAAAAAAATTACTAATAATTAAAATTTTATTAATTCTATAATTTTTTATAATTATTATTATAAATTTAATTCTCCAATAATTGATAATATTAACATATTTATTAAATTAAAATTCTTTATTTTAATTAATTATTTTAAATTTTTTTAACAATATTTTTCAAATAAAAACGATAAAATTTAAAATTAATTTTTAACTAAATCTTCACATATGATTAATACTATATTATATTATTATGTTTAATTAAATTTTAAAATAAGTTATCTTAATCTTTACACTTTTATATAAAAATGACTAATATAAATTTAAAATATTTATCCAACTATTAAATTATCAAATATATTAATATAAATTTAAAATATCAATTCAAGTAATTAACATAATTTTAATTTTTTTATAAATACATTGAAATACATCTTTATTAAAGAATAATATATATAAAGAGACTAAATTAATAATTAATTTAATCATTGATTATATATATAAAAGAGACTAAATTAATAATTAATTTAATGATTAATTCAATGATCAATTCAATGATCGAATCGATGATCGAATTAGTGATCGAATCGATGACCAAATCAATGATCCGATCTGGTAACTAATTTAATAATCAATTTTAATTTTTTTATTCACATACTAAATTAAAAAATAAAATTAAATAATTATATTACTAAATTATTTAATAAGTTAGTAAACTATTTTTTAAAAATTTTATAATGTTATTAAAAATGTTATCAATTATTTTAAATTATTAAGTAGATTTATATTTAACATGTTATTAAAATATTTTTAAAAGATATTTATATAAATAAAAAATAGTCACCAATTTACAGATTATTTGTTTAGTGATCTGAAATTTTAGTTACTAAATTAGTCATTAAATATAAAAAGAGAAATCAGATCACTATTAGTAATCTGAATTTTTCGATCACTATTAACCTTTTTCTAGTAGTGATCGAATGAGTGACTGATTCGATGATCAAATCGAGTAACCAATTTTTGTGACCGAAATTTTAGTCATTAAATCAGTCACTAAATATAAAAAGGAAAATCAGTCACTGATTCAGTTACTATCAGTGACTGAATTTTTCGGTCACTATTAACTATTTTTTTAGTAGTATGTGCAGTCCCCTTGCACAACGTTACAAATGTAAATTTTGAATCAAGCAATTTAACTGGTGCAAGAATCCAATTTAGTTGAATTAAATGCCAGTAAGAATCAAAAATTAAATATAAATCCATGCTGGATCACTCAAAATAGGAAAGAAAAAGATTATTTTCTCCAAATCAATCCCATAAATTTCTCTTCATAGAAATCTAATTTTGCAAATTTTTATTTGGGAAACATTTGATTTTATTGTAATTAATTTTAGGTTAAATTTCTCTTGTTCAATCCTCTATAAATAGAGGTCTTATGATACCACAATCATAATTTCATCCTCCGAGGTGAGCTGTTGTTTAGACTTGTCCCCGTTTTCTTTTCTGTTTTCAGTTTTTAGTTACGCAAGTCCAAGTACTACTACAACACTTCCGGGTTTGTTCTTTTTTATTTAATTTACAATTTCTATTGAATTTCCCAATTTATATTATTCTATTTACTTTATTCATTCAAGTACTCATTTTAATTTATATTATTTAATTATTTAAAATTTTTATTTTATTCCAAGTATTACTTAATTTTCATTTTCAATTCATCTCTTTTCTAATTCCAATTCTCAATTTAGTTGTATAGTTATAACTTTCAGAAATTTAAAAATTAATTACTACACTATTTTATTTTAAAGCAATTTTCTATTTTGCACTTTTAATTAAAAGAATTTATTTTAATTTTATAAATTTCAGTTATTTAAATTCTAATTCAATTTAATTTTAATTATTGCACTATTTTATTTTAAAACAATTTTTTATTTTGCATTTTTAATTAAAAGTGCTTTATTTTTATTTTATAAATTTCAATTATTTAAGTTCTACTTTAATTTAATTTTAATTGTCATTAATATTCTACTGCAATTCGATTTTAATTTTTATTATTCTTTATTAATTTATTTTTTTTCACTTTTTTATTCTTTCCTCTATTTACCTTTAATCATTGGTGCTGATTTCTTTTACTCAAATATATCAAAGTTATTTTTCAATAATTATAAGTTTTTCCAAGTTTTAAATATGTTTTGGAGTTTATAGACAAAATATAGCATAAAAGTTTTTACATTTTTTCTAGAAAATATATATATTTAATTCACCATGAAAGAAGAAAATAATCAAATATCATCAAAACTTCTTAGAAGTTAAGTCTGCATCTACTAATACATTGTAATGCATTTTGTCATGAGTTTTGTAGCAAAACATTTAGAAATGGTAAATTTCTGTCTCAAAATGCCTTAAAAACACATACGGAGCAATGCTTGCCTTCGTTTGACAAGTTTCATATAACATACTGAAAGTGGGGAGAAGGTTCAGAGTCACTGAAAAATATGTAGTCACGTGAATGATTTGATTTGAAGAAAGAGGATCTGAATATGTGTGTGGAAGAACGAGACAGAAGAAAAACAACCAAATTTCTTTGACAAAGTGGATAAAGAAAAGAAATAAGAAGAAAAGAGAAAAATAACAAGAGAAGGTGATAGTGAAATGAAGTAAAAATGTAATTAGAAAAAGAAGGTAAATGAATGTTCACAATTTTGTTATTTATGTGTTTGGTGTGTGCATGTGTGACATGTGTAAGTGAGGAATATGTTGGAAAGTGAATGATTTTATTAGAAAAAAGAGGATCAGAATATTTGTGCATAATGAACATGACATAAAAACAACCAAAATTGCATGTATACTTGTTCGGTGCTTCTTGTTTTAAATGTGAATTTCTTTCAATAAAAACTGGAACGTGTGCCCTAATTTGGGGTTTATTCTTTGAAGAAGAAAACGGAAAGAAAGAAAACAACGGAGTTATTATTTGTCATGTCTGTATTCTTAAAAAGCAACTGCAGGCTCCTGCTGCAGTTATTATCTACAAAGTAACTAATATGAAATGTAAAGGATAAATATGTATTTATAAATAATTATTTTTTAATATATATATATATATATATATTATAATTAAAATGAATAATAAATATATTATTAAAGAATCATTTCGAAACACTCTACTTCAAAATAATTCATTCTGATTTTTATATAGAGGATAGAGCAACATTGCAAACTGATTTACTTGGCACATTTTCTTTAAGTAACGTGTATTTCAGATAATAATTTTGGTTACAACGAGAAACAAAATAAAAATATAGACAACATTTTTAAAGTTCTACAACTATTTTCCCCTACCAAAGTTTTTCTATCTATTTTGTTTATATAATATAAATTTGTACTATTTTAATCTTTACTATTATTATTTCTATTAAATGATTTCATGATAAACAAAAATTTCATTAGATTGAATGATGTAAAAAATTAAATCCAGTAAAAAATAGATTGAATTTTATTTTCTTAATTATAATTTTATCAAATATAATCTAACTATATCTAACATAATGTTTTATGTTTGAGTGATAAATTTTGAATGTTAACTCGATTAAAATTATTAAACAATAATAATATAATATTTATTATTTATTTTATTAATTAAATATGTATTTTTAAAAATATTCAATTATTTAAATATTAAATCATATTTTGTAAAATATTCTAAAAAATCTAATAAAAAATATAAAATGACAAATTCTAAGTAAAAAATATTTTTTTTAAATTATCTAATTGATCTAATACAATTGAATGGCTTAACATTTAGAACATTATATCATCATCATTTAATAGTATGTGAAAAAATTAATATGTTATATTATAAAAACTAAAAAGATATGAGATTAAAATAATAAAAGAAAATATATGTTCATGTCACTAGGATTCAAGTACTAAGAAATTAATCAATTTATACCACCAAAAGATATTAAAGCCTTAGATTAGATTTAATTTTTCCAGAGTTTCTTCCTATGTTTAAGGCCAAAACAATAAATAGTTACTTCCACCTTTTCAATTTTTGAATGTGATTTTAGGAAGCCAATAATACTCTTCACACTGTAATGAGAAAAGCATAATTTTGATTAATACTGGCATGGTAGCAAAGAAAGTCTATAAATACCCTTCACAATTGAGAAGAATGATCAAGTGTTCATTCTCTTTCACACCTCCTTCAGCTTTCTATTATCTTATGAAACACTTAGATCAATTAATGGCTCCAATCCTCTTGTTTACTCTGGTGTTTGCTACCCAACTGATGGCTGGATTGAGTTCACCGCCGCCACCATTACCACCTCCGTCGTACGGAAACCGAACATCCATTCTGAGCATAGACGGTGGTGGTATCCGGGGCATTATTCCAGCAACTGTTCTTGAATACTTAGAAAACGCTCTTAAGGTCCGTCTTCTATTTTTGCGTTTTGATTTGTGTGTATGCTTACAAAATGCAATTAAACATATATATTGTAACGTTGACCATGGTTGAATTGCAGAAAAAGGACCCAGACACATCATTAGCACATTATTTTGATGTGATGTCAGGAACAAGCACTGGTGGACTCATGGCTACCATGTTAGCAGCCCCAAACCCATCTGACTCCAATCATCCTCTCTTTACTTCTTCGCAAATCGTACGATTCTACAAGACGTATGGCCCTAAAATATTTGAACCAAGGTATAAGCATCGACCTTGAACAATACGAAGCACTTGCAACTGTGTTAGTAAGAGTTATAACTTTGAATTGCTTTCACATTTAACTTACTGAAACGTTTGGATTATTGTGATGAATAACATGCAGATTCTTTCCATCATGTCCCAAGTATAATGGGAAGTTCCTACCTTATTTGATTGATTCGATACTGAAAGAAACACGACTGAACCAAACATTGACAAACATAGTAATACCAACTTTCGACCAGAGGAGAGTCATGCCTGTTATATTCTCGAACTTTAAGGTTAGCATGGTATATACAACCTTAATTTCAGTGTTTCTATTATTAAGTGATGTCATAAAAAGATAGAGAAAAAAATATATCATTTATATGAATAATATGAGTAACCATTTTGTTGAGGCTAACTATTGAATTGTTTGTGGTACTTCGATGATTATGCAGCTGAAAACAGAAACTTATCTGAATGCGAAACTCTCAGATATATGCCTCGGAACTTCGGCTGCACCAACTTATCTGCCATCCCACAAATTTAAGAATGAGGGTGTTTACTTTAATTTGGTCGATGGTGCTATGGCTGCTAATAACCCAGTAAACTCTATCACTATCTTTCATCATCAACAAAATCATTTCATTTTAAAAATTGTGACACATCATTAGGTTTACTTGAATCATAAGTTCATTCTCACTTATGTGACTTTCATTACGCAAATTTTCATTTAATTGATCTAAAATTTTACTACAATTTATTTATTTGAAAATAAATTTATTAAAAGTTTTTTGTTGTGATTTAATTAACTCTTCCTCTCATTTTCTTTTCTTTCTTTTTCACTTTTAGATAAATGTTTTTGAGAAAGTATATTGTAAAAGATAAATTCAATAGTAATTTTTTTTAAATAACAGTTAACTTATAAAGAAAATACATGAACAGAACAACGGTAATTGAAAAGTGAATATGAAGTTAAATAAATTGTCATGTATATGCTAATTCCAATCGGTAAAAACTCTAAACATAGGAATTAAAAAATTAAGCACTATAAATTTAAAACTTTAAAAATTGATCATATGAGAAAAGTTAGCAGAAGACTTTGAAGGAAAATAATAAATTATTAAAAATAACTTACCAAACAAAAAATTAAAAATGTGAAATAACGTTATTAAAATCAAAATATGTAGATAATAATAGTGTATTTTAAGCACATTCCTAAATTCTTAATCCTATAAATACGTTTTTTATTTAAAAATAAAATAAATCTCAATATAATTAATAAGTGATTCACGAAGGTGAATCACATACGATTTTTTAATTTTCCAATTCAAATACGTTGAGTGAGTGAGTCACAGTACAGTAGACTGTAAAAAGAGAATAAGAAATAATCAAATAAGAAAATCTGTAAGTCTCTTCAACTTTATATATATATATATATATATAAGAAATATATAGTTGTATCTGTTGTCAAATTTAGGACATAATAGATTTTTTTTTAATATTTTGAAAGAAACTAAAAGTATAATCCATTGTAGACTTGAACACTATAACTGACTAAATAAAGAAATTGAAAAGTCAATGTTAAAATATAAGAATTTTTTGTTCTTAAACAAACATAATTCCATTTGTTTTGGCTTATGACAACGTTGTGTTCGGACAATCACATTGGCTTTCAAGTCTCAGTCAAGGATTGCATATTTCCCAAAACCTTGTAAAAAATTAATAGACAATGGTTTTCTTAAATTAAGTTAAACCAAAACATGCACTCTCTAGTATGTCTATATTATGGAACTATGGTGTATGAAAAGATGATCAAATTGAATTATTATTATTATTATAGGCAGTGGTTGCTGTGAGCGAAGTGATACAACACAGTGAGAGAAAGGACATGATAATGCTATCGTTAGGAACTGGAATTGTAAAACCACCTCTTCAGATGGTAAGGGGGTTCTTTGAAGAAGCGTGTGAACTTTATTGGACAATCACTCACAGTGGAGTTATCAGTGAGGCTTTGTTTAGTACAGACATCACCCATTATTACCTTGCCACTGTCTTCCCTGGCCTCTTGCCTCCTGAAAACTACCTTCGCATTCAGGTATATTATGACACTGATTTCAAATTTTCTGGATTCTATGATTATGTTAGGAGTAAAATGAATTGATATATGTTTATGTAATGGCAGGAGTATAGCCTGAATCCATCCTTGGAACCATTGGATAATGCTGATGAAAAGAACATGAATAAACTTGAAAAGGTAGGAGATGGTCTGTTGCAACAAAAGGTTAAGAGGATGAATGTGAATACTTTTGTCCCAGTTGAACTAGACCATACAAATGCTCAAGCTCTTGACAGGTGGGTACAAACTCACATTCTCAACGCAGAATTTGTTATATTTTTTTGGTTGAGTTGTACGTGGAATGCTGATTCTGAGAGGATATTGTTACTTTTAATTTTGTGAAGCTTTGCTGAGAAATTATATGAAGAGAGGCAGTTACGTCTGAAGAGGAAATCTATAGCAAAGGGAAGAAGACCATCTATTGAAAATGTCAAAGTCCCTTCTGGGGAAATCAGAGTCATTTGAAATTGTGTGTTTGTGTGTTGTAATAAGGTTCAACGCTAATGATAGTTGAGTTCTATGCAACTCCCAATAGCAAGAACCATGGATCATGTAATAAGGTTCAATGCTTTGAGTTTAGTGCAACGCTTAATAGCGAGGACCATGGAATATATATAATATTTCATAATTGATCCCTTGTTTATTCCTTTTCTTTTGTGTTTCAACATCTTCTTCCTCTTATCAGTTTCTCGTTGCTTAAAATTAGATAATTAAAACAAAGAACTGAAATGTTCATCTAAATGAAACTGCAAAGAAAAAAACGAAAAAGATAAAGAATAAACAAAAATAATCAATTTTGTAATGGTTATTTAGTTTCTCAAATAATCATCACCCAGGAATCAAACCTAAAAAATACGTGTGGAATCACCTTTTTTATGAACACATAACAGCAAGTTAGAATCAATGCGTGGCTTTGGTTGGAGAGTGTATTCTGCATGAACAAAACTGTGCACTCTGTCAACGTAAAAGCTAACTCATGCATGAGACCAAATTGTTAACAACGTAATTTCCTCTATGATCTCTTTAAATAAGTTCTTTATATCTTCTATTACTAAGATTATAAATATTTGTACTCGTAAAACCTCTAAGATTATATCAAAGGCGTTGCTAGAGTAAAACCAGCATAGCTTCAGAGATTCTGCAAATGAAGAGTGAAGAATCTGTTAACGACTGCTAGACTCTCATAGTTAACATCATTGAGAAAATTCTCCGCTCAATGACTTCTAGGTACGATTATGTAGTGTGCTTTACTGAAGAATATGATGATTTGGATTCAAAGATGGTAGATGAACTCCAGCCTGATAGTACATGAGCAGCAGATGAATGAAGAGCAAGTGCTCTTCAAGGTTGCATAATATGAAAATGACTAGTTTTTAAATGGATGACTAATTTTAATAATCGTGTGTTTGTTGTTGATGAAAATTCTGGAGTTTCTCACTCATGTTTTCCATGTTTGTTATTCAGGTAAATTCTGGAGTTTCTAAATCATGTTTTCAGGTCAATTTAGTGTTAGCAGCTCAAGTTTGACATCTTGCTACGATCACTTGACCTACAATGAGATGAAAACTGAGTATGATATGGTGGAAGGTCTACCATTCTTTAAGTCACCAACTCAACTTTCAGAAGATTGTCTCAAAGGAAAGCATAGACCCTTTCGTAATAATGTTATTTTTTATTATTTCAAATAAGCTTCTGAATACAAACTTACTTATTCAATTACTTTACCATCGGATAAAATTGAACTAGGTTAATTAAAATTATGAGTTCAAAAATTTTATTAATAATAATAAAATAAAAAACTTAACTGAGAAAATATTCCAATAAAAATTTTTAGTCAAATTCTAAGTCAGTGTGAACATTTAGTTTTTTATTTTTTTTGTTACATATATAATATACATAATATCAATTAATATATTCTTTTTCTATTATCATACTAATTTTAATTTTTAAAAAATAATTCTTATCATCATTTGTGTTTTTCTTATATTTTGTTTAGGTTTATTTGTCGTAATTAAAAAGAAATGAAAATTATTTTTTTAATTAAATTAAAACTGATTTTTAAATAAATTTAAGGCAAATTAATGATTTTGTTAAAATTTGTTTGTTTGTATATTTGACAAATATTTTCTCAATAATTTTTTGGAAAAAGATATTTTGACACCACTATTCACACAAACAACCCTGTAAACAACTGCATTTTATATTATAATAATAATTTTAACTATTTTTTATTTTTATTTAAACTCTTTCATGATTATTATATTAATAAAATGAGTTGTTTTTTGGGTTGTTTTTTCTTTCGGTTGTCAAAAGATCATCACCCTAATTTTTTTACCTTTAGTATTTTTTTTGTCTCTCTCATCCAGACCTTATTTAGCCTTTTAGATATTTGCACTTAAGAAAAAACTTGATATTGTACACATTCCTTCCACTAGTGCAAAAAAGGGCTTCTACGTCACCTAATTGTCGTCGCATGTAAAAATATTCGACGTAAATAAAACGCGGTGACAATTTTGTAAATAAGAGACAAAACTTTTACGTCGCGCACCCCAGCACGCGACGTAAAAAGCTTTCTTTTACGTTGCGCCACCCAGGTGCGACGTAAAAGAGTGCTTTTTATGTCGCGTACTGCGATGCGCGACGTAAAAAGTCCCTTTTATTTCCTCTCAAACCCACTCCCTCGTCTCGCGCAACCAGGGTTTTTGAGAACGACGACAACAGCTACCTCTGCACACCATTTTCGATCAGTTTGACAGTGAAAAACATCAACATTGTGTGTCATTTTACGAACTTGATATTTCTCCCCGATTGGATTCGAGTTTGAAATCATTTTTCGTCTACACTCGAGGTTAGTGTTCTATGCCATTGCTATATGTTTAAATTGAATCCGTGATTGTTTTTGGGGATCTCAATCACGTTATAGTATGAATGTCTCCACTGGATTGTTATTGGAATGTAATTATTTGTTTATTTGTTTGAGTGCATTCAGTTTACACACTCCATTGTTGTTGAAACGTTCTTTGTTGTTTGTATATTAATTTCTTTTTACATATAATTTTTAAATCTCTAGGAGTGACGAAACTTTATAACATAATATGAATCGAAGTTGGATGAATGCACGTCGTATTAGTGAAGAGTACGAAAAGGGAGTTGAGAAATTTTTGAAATTTGCTAGTGAAAATGGAAAAGCTATGAAAGGGACATATTATTGTCCATGTGTTCGTTGTTTGAATCAAATTTGTCATGAACTTGAGGATATACGTGATCACTTGTTTGTTTATGGTATTATTAAAAGTTATACAATATGGACATGGCATGGAGAAATATTAGACATCCCAACTGTGTCAACTACAGACAATTTTGATGAAGGGATGAATGATAATCTAGAGGATATGATACGTGATATTGGTGAAGAAAATTTTATGAAAGCACATCTATATGATTCTTTGAAATCTGATTTTGCGCAACAATTGTACATAGGATGTAGTTTTACAAGATTATCAGCAACTTTAAAATTGTTTACTTTAAAAGCAAGAAATGGATGGACTGATAAAAATTTCACCGAATTATTGGAGTTGTTGAAGGAGATGCTTCCTGAAGATAATACATTACCTATTCGTAACTATGAGGCAAAGAAAATATTATGTCCAATGGGTTTAGAGTACAAGAAGATACATGCATGTCCTAATGATTGTATATTGTACAGAAACGATTTTGCTAAATTAAAGATGTGTCCGACATGTGGTTTGTCGAGGTTCAAAAACAAAGTTGAGGAAAGTAGTGGTGAGGAAGAACTAGATGGTCCCCCTGCTAAGGTGTTATGGTATTTGCCAATTATACCTAGGTTTAAAAGATTATTTTCCATAAAATAAGATGCAAGAAACTTCACATGGCATGCAAATGGTAGAAAATGTGATAATCTTCTTCGACATCCAGCTGATTCTCCACAATGGAAAATGATTGATGAAACCTTTCCAGAATTTGGTGCAGAGCCAAGAAACTTGAGAATTGGATTAGCTACAGATGGGATGAATCCTTATGGAAATTTAAGTAGTAAACATAGTTCATGGCCAGTTTTGTTGATCATTTACAATTTGCCTCCTTGGTTATGCATGAAGAGAAAATATATGATGTTATCTATGATGATTTCAGGACCTCGACAACCAGGAAATGACATAGATGTATATCTTAGTCCTTAAATTGATGATTTGAAGATGTTGTGGGAAACAGGAGTGGATGTATTTGATTCATATCACGAAGTGAATTTCAGGTTGCGTGCAATGTTATTTTGTACTATAAATGATTTTCCAGCATATGGTAATTTGAGCGGTTATAGTGTGAAAGGTCATTTAGCGTGTCCTTTATGTCAAGAAGACACAAGTTATATCCAATTGAAACATGGACAAAAAAATTCGTACAATAGGCATAGAAAGTTTCTAGTTGCTAATCATCCATATCGTAAAATGAAAAAAACATTTAATGGATGTCAGGAGAATGCAGTTGCATCAGTACCACGCAATGGTGAACAAGTATATATGAGCAAGTGAAAAATATTAATATTGTGTTTGGAAAGACCCAAAAGAAATCCAATGAGAAAAACATTTGGAAGAAACAATCTATATTCTTCAATCTTCCTTATTGGTGTAAGTTGGAAGTTAGACACTGTATAGATGTGATGCATGTTGAAAAAAATGTTTGTGATAGTATAATTGGGACATTGCTTAACATAAAAGGAAAGACAAAAGATGGAATAAAAGCAAGACAAGATTTGGCAGACATGGGTATACGTTCTGAATTACATCCACAATCAGTTGGAAAACGCACTTACTTACCTCCAGCTTGTCATACTCTATCAAAGAAAGAAAAAAGAAGCTTTTGTGAGTGTTTACGTGAGGTCAAAGTGCCACAAGGATACTCCTCAAATGTTAAGAGTCTTGTGTATATGCAAGAGTTGAAATTAGTTGGTTTAAAGTCTCATGATTGTCATGTGTTGATGCAACAACTTTTACCAATGGCTATTCGAAATATCTTACCAACTTCTGTTAGAATTGCTATTACTCGGTTATGTTTGTTTTTCAACGCCATTTGTAAAAAGGTAATTGATCCAAAAAGTTAGATGAATTAGAAAATGAAGCAATTGTAATAGTGTGTCAGTTAGAAATGTATTTTCTCCCTTCATTTTTTGATATCATGGTGCATTTGATAGTCCATTTGGTAAGGGAAATTCGGTTATGTGGTCCAATTTTTCTTAGATGGATGTATCCTGTTGAGAGATACATGAAGATCTTAAAAGGATATGTGAATAATCAGTACAGGCCAGAAGCTTCTATTGTGGAAAGGTACATTGCAGAAGAAGCCATTAAGTTTTCACTACTGCAAAAAAGGCTTTTTACATCGGTTAAAATGGGCTTTCGATGTCGGTTAAAGCGGCGACATAGATACGGGGGTCATAGAAAGTAAGACTT